AAATGGGCGAAATCGCCTCTTGATATCACTAACTCTCCTGAGAAGATAAACTACGCAGTGGACCTTCAAGAAGGTCCACTGACGATGATACAGCGACTGCTATCCTTACTCATTTTAACAGAAGTGAATAAAAACTTTTGTTTTGCCTTTTTTTAATAGTATTTTTCCTATGATGTCGGACTTATGGGACACCCTGTATATTAATAATTTAATTAAATAACTGAAGATTACAAAACTAATGTGTGGAAGAAAGCCTCTGATGGAACTGAGTCATGCAAAATTGCGTCCATTGTAGCGTAATATGGAGCTCAATGTCACGAGAATGCTTAGAAATTGACATAGACACAATGTAAATGCAATGTCCATTGGAATGGACGCCAGGTCTGAATTGGTTAAAACGATCAACAACGCCCAGGAAACATGAGGTCAGAGATCTCATTATAGAAGTGCCTACAATTATGACCAGATAAAGCTATCAGTGCTTTCAGGGTCATCAAGGAAACCTTTCCGAGAAATTTAAATACCTCTAAGTAAATTTTTCATCAAATAGAAAATAATTCACACTGATTCGCCGGAAAACCTTGCAGTTTTGCAACTAATTTTGAAAATAACGTCTAACCTTGGATGAGAGGTTGTCGGCTGCCCGACAAAGGGAAAAGAGAAGAACGTTGCAGAACAATGCTTTCGCCAAAGCAAACGCAGCCATGATCCAAGAACTCTGCATGACCCAAGATATTATGAAGAACGCATAAACAATGGTCAACACTATTTGCACAAGAAAGCTCAGATGGAGGGTTGGATGAAATGCAGAAGATAGCCTCCTGCTCAGTTGAGATACACGAAGATGCGTATCCGAGTAAAGGGCCAAAACTTCTCCTTTCCGCAGGGATCCCGTGGCATTCTGCAGTTCCCACAATCGCTCTTCCAAGATCACCTTGAGAATCTGTCAAGGAAAAGGCACTTTACATTTTCTACAGCATTCAGCAGCAGTTAAATACTTTTCACTGTAAGCCAAAGCTAACAAGACTCGGAATCATAGAACTTCGCTATTTTTTTGCTTGCTACGATTGTACTTCAGTCAAGAACGTCGAATTCAGGTTCAGACAGAAGGTTTCCATCCTCACAAGCCAGAAGGTTTCCATCTACTGCCTGGGTAATGAATTTTCACCATGAAAAATTTCACGATGAAATTATCTGGAAGAACTATGTTTAAGTGTCCTATTCCTTAACGATGGCCTCGGCGTTCTAAACTAGAGTATTGGGAAAGTGGTTTGCTCATTCGATCATAAAATACGTCCATTTCACATGAGTGGCAAAAAGGACGTTTATATGACATGAAAAGTGATTGTGCTCGCTGCTTGCTTTCATTTTGTGGACATTACCAGATATTCGCCTTCACGACAGAGTACTCGGCAAATAACCGATCCCTGAAAGAGCCTACTGATAATAGCTTGCCTCCAAACCTTTAAAATATAAAGGGTGAGATGCACCAAATCCGTTTAAGCTAACCTAATCTGATCTCACAATGGTTCCCTATGAGAATCAGTTTAACCAAGATAAACGTATTCCAATAGACGCCCATTATGAAAACAAATCAGTTTAAAGTTTAATGGATCTGGTGCATGTCACCCACAAAATGAGAGGAAGTTAATGATCTTTTGCTTTTCTTTATAAAATTTACTCCTGGTATTTCAGCGTATAATATTCGGCAGCCATTTTCTGTGACTGTAATCACTTACGTTTCATGGACTCCCATTGAGACATCTGGTCTTGGATTTCTTTTTTTTTTTTGGATAGATTTGGTGGAAAATCTCCAGACTCGACAGAGCTGATTGGCACTTGGACTTAGACTTGAAACCAGTGGACTATACGGTATACTAGACTTACACCTTTAGATTTCCCATGAAGTTTCTCCTTCATGGACTTGTAGGAAATGATGGTGTTGCAATCGCGGTCGAGGGCTTTGACACCCATAAATACTCAGTAGTCCCTAATCAATTTTCACTTGCAGAATTTAAAAGACGATTATTCAAGAGAATTATAGCGCTTGTAGGTTAGTAGATATGACCTCACCTGACACGAAAGAGAGAGGAATAGGATGAGAGTCAAGAGCCCGGCTTCGATGACCAACATGAGAGCAGTGTTCACAACCGTCGAAGGGACTGAAAATTGTTGATGGATGACGATCCAGGACATAGCTGCATTTGCTAGATAGAAACAGCCGCAGCAGAGCACCGTGAAAAGAAAGGATCTACGGGAGGAAGAAGCCGCTGTGGACCCCTCCACTGACTCCAATTCCTTCCAGGTTTCGTGGAGATCTTCCAACCACTCAGGGATTTTTCGAGCCGTCTGTAGTTGAGCCGAGACGTAGGTCAAAGTAATCCCGAATCCAGCCATGATCATGATGTAGAAACCGATTCGATCTCCCAGCGTATACCCAAACTGATTGAAGTACTTCTGGAAGAGTTGTATAACCAAGCCGACGGAAGTGACACCTGCGCAGATGATGAAGAGAGACCAGAAAAAGGGGAAACTGCAGAACCGAAATATCACTTTCTTAGTCCCGTTCTCTCTTTGCACAGGTAGAATCCCAAGGCACATTCCCACACGACAGAGAGTCCAGAGCCAATCCATGAGAGAAGCCATTTTCCCACTTCCTTCAGTATCTCTCAACGTGTATTTATACTCCCAATCGTCCCATTATCTACATCTTAACGGAGCCCGTGCCGAAAGTCTATCTTCACAATGCCCATTTGTGGATGACTCGTTTACTTAGGCCTATAATTGTGGACTATCTTTTCAAGGATCGAAGTCTTTCAAGAATCCTTTTCCCTTCATCATGTCCATGAAGGCATACTGCATTACCTTTTAGTGCTACCTTGCAGTTTCAGAGAATTTTTCCTAGTGAATCACTATCGTTTTACCCATGTTAGTGACTGAGAATTGGAAGAATGGAATTTTCCATTTAGGTTCCATGCTTATTCCGAACTTCCTTTCTTCAGAATGAAACATGATCATGGAACCATCTTAGGATCCCTATATGTACGAGTTCTTGAAACCAATTTGAATAATAAAAGAAGCAAATTACACAAAATGTACAGTATTGTAGCCGCCAATAACCCAGAATCTACCTCAAGGTGCACAGTAAAATATTCAAGAACATTTAAGTACATAATGACGTCAAGTACAGCGCCATTGTATAGGCGCTGTGCTTGATTTGGTTATATAAACTTCATTTCTTTCTTTCAATGAAGAGTTAATGAAGTAAATAGGAAAGCTTCGACTTCATGGTGCAGTCAATGTATAACCCCCCCAGTCACTTATATCCTAAGTATCACCTCACAAGCCAGTCACCAACCCTGTTTTTCTCCTGGGTAAGAATGTAATAGACAAAAAACTGCATGCTTGTTTAATACTTTCGTATGAATGATAACATGTAATTATTGCATAATGTATCATTATTGCATAATGTAGCTTCCCGAAGAGTTCTGCTTTCTCGATAAGCTGGATGCTTCACTCACACAGCCTGATTCTTCGGTGATGGTCACGTGACATCCACATTTGGGGGTGGTCACTTGAGTTCATTTGCACCTTCCTCCAACGATCGCGGCGTTCTTGCAGCCATTTCTATTGCTGAAGAGAACGAGGAAGGAGCGTTGTTCCTTCCTCGTTGTTCTGTCGTTGAAAGATGAACGAATGAAAGAAAATATTTTCTCTCGTTTTCCCTTTTTGAATCGTTGAATTATTTTGTGAATTTCGGAAACTTGGGAAAATTCTGTGATAGTTATGATTTAAAGAAAATGATGAATATTTGAATTTAAAAAGTCATACCCCGAGGTGCTTCAGGCTGGCAAAATCCTAATTACTTCCAGGAGCATCATATTTCTTTTTGTTGTCTTTTTAAAATGGATATTCAAGAAATAATCTCCGTATTCATACTTACTCGTTTCATATAGTGATGAGTAAGTGGTTTAGGTAAATTTATGAACATACTAAAAGCGGAGTACTGTTCCGTAATTCGCTTTTCTATGTGGGTGTGGCGAAAACGATTAAAGGGAGGGGCATCATCCCATGTAACTATTATACTATCATGAATTTGTTGAGATCTGCGTGAAGAGTTAAGTGTAGAAGGAATTTGGAATTTCCCACCCCATGCTCACCCCAGCCGGTCTCGATGCTCTCCCTAGTAGCACATAACATTGAATTAACATTTATTCAATGTTGATTTAACATCCGGATGTTGAATCAGCGTTGAATCCATATTGTTTCAATGTTATGTGTTACCAGGACTCTTATTCCATCAGAATATCTTATTCCATCATCTTATGACCGAATCGCAGGCGAGTCCCGGAATCATCCAGGAATTGCATGTTATCACATGAGCCCAACTGGCTCATGGATGACTGGATGACTGGTCTGCCTGAAAAGAGTAAAAATGTCCCTAATCTCATCTGAACAGAACAGGGGTCTTTATTCCACGCAGTGATGTAGCAGGACATCAAAGAATCAATCGACACGAAACTCCAGTAAAACTATCAGATACGTCAGCATATTACTCGCCACCTGTAATATGAATGGAAGCAATGCAAAAAAAATAACGACTCTCACAGCTAAACCATCCATTAGCTTTCGCTGCCTAGGATATATTTCATTATCTTGCGAAGCAGAAATTGTTCTTTTTTTCCAGATCTGACTATGGAGGATTTTGATGGACGTTGGATAGCTTATAATATAAAAATGCGTATAGTTTAAGTACTTAGAATTGCTATTCAATGGTAATGCAAAAGTACTAAGAAATCGCTGTTTACCATCATTTCATGGGTTCTTGAAAATAGATTCGTACCTTAAAAAATTAAGCATTTCAGATTGAATAAGTTGCATTGTTAGATAATATGAGGGTACTTACAGAAGTAAGAAGAGCCTTGTTGAGGGTGAAATACCCTGAGGCTTCCAGTTTCACCTGATGAGTCCGCGTCTGGGACTCAAAATGAATCACCTGCGAGTGGACCTCGCTTCTTACTTGCAACTAGTCAACTCATGGTAGGAAAGTCGATCGTGTTGGAGGTAACTCACCTGAATCTTGGATTTTTTGTCTGCACTCAAGGTCCTATCATTCGTGAGCGTGAGAATGATCTCCTCTCCCTGCAGCAAGAGAGTGCCAAAATTAAAATTCACATTTCCGCGAACACTGTAGAGAATGCCACAAGATGCGACAGTCGGAAGGCAAAATCAGTGGATCGGGTAGTATAACAGTCAAAATGGAAAAATAACCTGTAGCAAGATGTTAGAAATTTCTCTGAATTATGTCGAATTCTTCTTCCCCAGACGTGTTCATAACCAGGCTAGTCTCGTTCTCAACAAGTACGGCTCCAGATTGAGACCATACGAATAGCAAAAGACACTAGAATATCGTAGGAAAAAAGTTTACATTTTCCTTCAGTCGTCCATGGAATTAATAATCAGAAATGGTCAAAATATTTGAAGTATTACCCCATATTCATGAACAAGAATAAGACAGCGAATGAAAACAAATGATGCTGCATGAATCACTTCAGAGACCATCCCAGAATTCCTAACCTAAATGTAATTTCTATGGAGATTATAGAGTCAAATGACCACGCACAAAAACTGGCATGGTGGATATGAAGTGCAAGGTCTGACCTTGGAAGAGAGGCTGTCGGCAGTCTGACAGAGGGAGAAGAGAAGGAAATTGAAGAACAAAGTTTTCACCGAAGCCATCGAAGCCATAAGCCAGGAACCTTCCAGGGCCCACGAGATGATGAAGAAGGCGAATACGATGGTCATGACGATGTCCGTGAGAAAATTCAGGAAGAGCGCGGGATGGAGTACGGAAGAAAACCTCCTTGACAAGTAAGACACTTGCAGATGCGTCTCCAAGTAGAGGGACAAGACTTCTTTACTCGAGGGTTTCAGAGTATTCTGTAATTCCCAGGCTCGCTGCTCTAGGATCACCTTAAGAATCTGTCACGGAGAGAGCGATCAATCATTTACAACAGCTCCAGAGAGTTGAAATCACATTATCTTTTTTTAAATAAGATAATAGAGGGAAACAAGACCGAAAATTTCAGCATTTTGGATCGCAGCTACTAATGATACAGTAAGCGAGACTGAAAAATTCGGGGTGGGATCAAAAATCCACGTCCGACAGGGTGTGGGCTTTGGCTTTATAGCGGTTCGCTCGCTTGAGTAAACATAACCCCGACCTCTTTCCTTAGGCTAAACCTATGCCTCACACAATGGTTTCATATACTTAAAACCTTCATTGACGACATCACCTCGAATGAGGAAAGGTGGGGAATCATTCGTTGCTGATGGATTGGGCACTGTCAATCACTCAATCGTCTCCTTTGGATTCAAGTTTACACTGATCTTAGACGAGCTAAATGGAAACCATTTCGTACAATAGAAGTGATTGTAACTGAAGCACCCTATTTGATGTTTTTGTCGATCTTATCAGGCATTTACCAAAAGAAAATTCTTCATTTTGAACGACACAAAGAAAGAATTCAACAGAATAAATGGTTACCGCATTCTTCATTGTAAAATGTATACACATAGAGCAGGATGAACAGGTTACTCTGGACACAATCTCTTAATTGTTCCATACTGATATTTAAGCTTAAACCCTAAATGCGCGAGCTTGAATTACCTAGACACGTTCTGGCAGAATTTCTGGAGTTAGGAAGGAACATGAGGTCGAGACGTGTCGACCGTGCACACGATCCAATGGAGCAGAAATGAGCGATTTGCGATTCTCATTGAAGAAATTGACTCGCAAATTTCCGCTACACAACCCTTGCATTTAGATTTTCTAAAACCGAAGCGCTCGAAGCCATGCAGCGTGGGCACAAGGTCATTTCCCTTACCTGACACGAGAGTGAAATGAAGAGGTAGAGGGTCATCAGTCCGGTTTCGACGACACACGTGAAGACACTGCACGCAATGCCCACCGGGTGGATGAACCCTAGTGTACTGATCCAGACGGAGGCCACATCTACGAGATAGAAGCAGCTGCAGCAAAACACGGTGATGAGGAACGATCGACGGGAGGAGGATTCCGCGGCGGATCCAACCACCGATTTCGATCCGTTCCAGGCCTCATCGACGTCTTCCAGCCATCCGGGGACTTTCCGTGCCGTCACAAGTTGGGACGAGATGTAGGTCAAGACGGCGCCAAGTCCGGCGAAACCCATGATGTAGGAAGTGATACGATCTGCCAGCGTATTCCCATTACGATCTAAGTACTCCTGGACGTGGGGAATTGCGGAGAGAATGGACGTTATGTATGCGCTGAGAATGAGAATACCCCAGAAGAAGGAGAAACTCCAGAACCGAAAAGTCACTTTCCTCGTCTCGTTCTTCGCTCTTTGCACAGGTAGAATCCCAAAAAATGCTCCCAAACGACAGAGAGTCCAGAGCCAATCCATGAGAGACGCCATCTTCCCTCTTTCTTCCGTATCTCTCAAAACTTATTTATTCATTCAATCATTCCGTTATCTTCATCTTCAGGTAAATCGTGCCGAAAGCCAATCGTTATCAACGACCATGCACGGACAACTTGTACCTTTGACTCATAATGGCTCATTCATTTGCTAATCCCTCCGTCAACAAGAACAACGTCATGCCCATATATGGAGAGACTGATTTCTTTCCAATATCTCTCATCTGAAGTGGCTTCGCCTCCTAAAATCATCGTAGCTGGCTGTACATCAAAACGCGTTTGCAAACACTGATAATTAGGTGTAAGGCTACCCACACGGGTACCATTTGGTGACAATCGAGTCCTCATACTATCCTTAATGCATTTGTTGGCGACATGGGTCGAGGTTGAATATGCTCATAGCAGTGGTTAATGCAGCACCTAGTTTGTTTTTTTGCGTTTCGTCAATTTCGTCTGACAACGCGCAAATATTTCACACGATATGATACGTACCGTGACGACACGAATCATTTCAGAACATGAATAATCAATCAAATCATTTCCTCACATCTTGCAAAATGATCAATCAATGCTTCAGCTTCACCATCGAACATAAGGAAACACGAAAATACTAGGTGATCCAGTATTTTTGACCACCTCTCTAGGTTTAGGAAGAAAGATTTGGAACCTCTTGCGTTCAAACTGCAACTTTTTAAATTATAATGGAACATCTCTTTGGGAACGTTCAGTCTCCCTGCATGCATTCATCTTCTTCCTGCGACAAATACATGACAACCTCATATTTCTCCGTTTTCTTGCTGAAAAAGTCTTTGCCATGGAAGATCGTGGGAAGAGGGGGGGGGGGAGATAAATATTCTGATCTCGAAGAGCCTTACGCGAAGGACTTTTGAAGTCAAAGTCCACAGACATAATGGCATTTGGATTTGCCTCGTCGACTTACTCTTCTGCAGCCTAAATAGCTCGCTTTCTGCGACGATTTTGGATTTAGCCATTTCCTCCCTCGTCCTATTCATTGGACATCCTGTTTCGACCATACCGCGAATGCCCAAGTTTTTGTATTTGTATTATTCGTTATCTTAGTTACAGAACTTTAAAAATCCAATGAAGGTTTATAGAATTTCGGCAGAGAAAAAGTTGGGACTTAATGGGTTAATCCTCTGCTTCTGGCCATCAAGGACGAGAGGATCGGTCGTCGCAGCCAAGACACCTCGATGAAGTTGACCCTCTCGTCGCAGACGAGGAATCGCATCCAATTCGCGGAGGCTCTCCCCTCGATGTCTTCCCCCCCCCCATCATTCTTTCCTCGACCAGAAATCCGGTCCAGGAATGCTTCCCTTACGGATGCAAGTATCGATAGATGGGACTCGTCTGCCGCATGCAGAATTTTCATTCTCCCAAGCCACCCTAGCCGATTTCCTTCTTCAATCAAGATCATGTCGTGCAGGGTTATTGAATCAGGGAGTAAGGCAGAATCATAGGCAGATCTTGAAATCGACCATGAATGGCGTATGATCGCACGTGCACCACCATTTATTCTGGACGACTGGACTGTCTGAAAGTTGCAAAAATGTTAGCGGTCTCGCTTGAACAGAACGCGAAGGGCTGAAGCGATTTTTATTCCATCCAGTATTGAAGCCAGAGACAAATGAATCATCCAACACGCAGCTCCAGCAAGACTATTAGGTATGTCAGCATATTACTCGCCACCTGCAATAAGGACAGAAAACGATAACTTAAGCCTTTCTGCACAGCAAACAGAGCGATCCATCTAGCATCTGAAGAAAGTCAGACAGAAGTAAAACCCCAATTTCTCGGGAGAGCTATCCTCGAAAATTAATCGCATAGATATGTAGACGTAGCGTCAGGCATTTTCACAGGCTGCCAGAAGAATGTGATCCGCTTTTCTGACTGGAGGAGGAGGAGGTGGGAACTGAGCAAGTTATGAAAGCCCTATGTTAGAACTATTTATTTACTATTTATTTACTAGTGTAGTAGGGCAGAACATGAGTTGTATGAATTGGGTGGCGGTGCGTAATCTGGCGCTTCTGGGGATGGCTTTATCGTTCCCATCCATTAAGGACAGATATATTGAGCATTATGAATTACTCCTTAGGATTGATTTCCCCCCCCCCCCCCCCCCCCCCCGCCCCCCCCAATGCTTACACAATGCACCATATCCTCGTTGAGGGACATCAATCAGTTCGTCGATGGTCGATCGGGCCGAGACCCCTCCCCCTCCAAAAATCCTGCACAATCCACTGGTGAGCGCAAATCGTGAACGGTTCGGAAGTACTACTTACGGAAGTAAGAAGAGCCTTGTTGAGGGTGAAATATCCTGACGCCTGTAGTTTCACCTGATGAGTCCTTGTCAAAGACTCGAAATGCATCACCTGCGACCAAACCGTCCTCCTTTCAATTAGTCAGCATTCGGTAGAAAAGTTTATCTTGGGAGTGGTGGCGACTCACCTGATTCCTGGATTTCTCGTCTAAAATCAAGGTCCTATCACTCGTGAGCGTGAGAATGATCTCCTCTGCCTGCAGGAAAGAACAAGAGTAGAAATCGCGCCTCGCACCGTCACGAATTTCTAGAATAATCAAGGACAATTTAACGTGGACGAACACACTTCGTGACTTATTTGCAATGACGTATACTCGCGGATTTGCATATTACTAATTCATGAGCTGGAAGTTTACGAGATGGGCCTGCGGAGTAAAGGAATGTTATAGGAGGAAGTAAAGGAACTGATCCTCTTTGTGTAGGCTTTCCATAAGCAGTTTGATTGACGTAAATAGGGCAGATCGGAACTTGCTCCTAGGATGGGCACAGACGGAACGACAACTGCCGTGAGAAAATTGTTTCTTGCACCATTGGTCGATCCAATTCCCTAATCCTTTCGTTTTCAAGATTTCGAGGTATTCTTGTCTCGACATTTTCGTGCATAAATATCCTCGATCACTAAGCAAAGTGACGTAGGGGACATAAAAAGAGAGAGAGAGAGAGAGAGAGACAGCCTTAAGGCTTTAACATGTCCTGGAGCATCGATTGAGGGAACTTAAAGGATCATTTAGGAAGTGAGGCAACCAAATCTAAATTAGAAATAGGATCATTGGCACAATTGAAAAGATTAAATCCCTTGATGGTTGCGTTCCTTGACAGGAATACAACAAAAAGAAGAAAATTATTGTGTAAAAGCCGTGAGGATGTGCGATCATGCACATCCTCACTGCTTTTACGGATTCGTATTCTTCTCTTTAGGTAAGTCTCATCGGGAACGATCACGGGAAAGTGATCGTTTTCACGATCACGACGTCCGACGTCTCCTTGGGAAACTTGAAGCCAGGGTCCATATTATAAACGTGCCTGATATTACGACGTGGAACAGCTTTCAGTGATTCGAGAATTGTCTCTGAAACCTATCCTGGAATACTAAAACCACCCGAGAAAATTTCCCATCGCAACAATCGAATTTACACAAATTCGCACGAAGGCCTGCCTCTTCCAAGAGGGGATTTAAAACTCGGGTCTAACCTTAGATGAGAGGCCGTCGGCAGTCCGACAGAGGGAAAAGAGGAGAAAGTCGCCGAACAAAGTTCTCGCCAAAGCCATCCCAGCCATGAGCCAGGAACTTCTCATAATCCAAGAGATTATGTAGAAGGCAAATGTAATGGTCATCAGGATTTGCGTGAGAAAGCTGAGATAGAGAGTGGGATGAAATGCGGAAGACAGCCTCCTGCTCAATTGAGAAACTCGAAGATGCGTCTCCAAATAGAGCGCCAAAACTTCTCCGTTCCGTAGGGATTTCGTGGCATTCCGCAGTTCCCACAATCGCTCCTCCAAGATCACCTTGAGGATCTAATGGAGAAAGCAAGATTTGATTCGCTACGGCATTCAATAACTTAAGTTAAGCATGCATCCTTGTAAATGGAAGAGAAGAATTGGAGCTGAAGTCACAGGTTTTTGTGTTTTAACTCCAACTGTTCTGCGTGCGAGAACGTCGAATTCAGGCAGCGATAGATCACCACGTCTTCTAGAGAACTTCCTAGGCCTTGAATTTTTACCATGAGAAATGTCACTGATTAAATAACCTGGAAGAACTATGGTTAGGTGTCATATTCCTTGACGATGGCCTTGGGCATTCTAAACAACAATGAAGGGAAAGTGGCTTGCTCATTCGATCATAGAATACGTCCATTCCACGTGGGTTGCAAAGGAATTTTATCAGACATTATAAATAATTGTGACTCAAGCTCTCTGCTTGCTTTAATTTCGTGGACATTTGTTGATATTCGCCTTCACGACAGAGTACTCGACAAATAACCAATAATCCACGAGAGAGCCGACTGATAAAAGCTTACTATCGATACAATGCATTTTATGGAAGAAAAAAAATTAAAGGAAGTTGATGACATATTGCTCTTCTCACTATAAAATGTACTTCTAGTATTTCAGCGTACAATATTGCGGAACTGCTTACTGTGTAGACAATACTCCCAGTTTCACCGGCTAAAGTTTGGACAATGTCAAGGCTCTGATTTCATGGTCTTGGGTTAGATATGGTGGAAAATCTCCAGACTTGGTAGAGTTGATTGGCACTTGGATTTGAAACCGATGGACTATACCGTATAGACTAGGCTTACACCTCTGAGATAGTCCATAAAGTTGCTCCTTGATCGACCTGTCAGAAATGTTGGAGTTGCAATTCAGGTCGAGGGGATCGACACCCACAGATACCCAGTCGCCTCTAATAACTTTGACTTGGAGAGGATTTCAAAGAAAGATCACTCAAGAAAATTACTTGGCGCTTTAAGGTCGCGAGAGACGTATCTCACCTGACACGAAAGACAGATGAACAGGAAGAGAGCCAAGAGTCCGGCTTCGATGACCAACATGAGAGCAGAGCTCACAATCCACGCAAGGTGAGGGAATCCCTGAACAATCACACAGGACATGGAGACATCTGCGAGATAGAAGGAGCCGCAGCAGAACAAAGTGAAAAGAAACGATCGGCCAGAGGAGGAAGCCGCAGTGGAACTGTCCACAGACTCCAACTCCTTCCAGGATTCGTAGAGATCTTCCAGCAACCCCGGGACTTTTCGAGCAGTCAGTAGTTGAGCCGAGACGTAGGTCAAAGTGATCCCGAATCCAGCAACGACCATGACGTAAGAACCGATTCGATCTGCCAGCGTATACCCATTCAGATCGAAGTACTTGTAGAAGAGTGGTACTACCCAGCCGATGGAAGTGACACTTGCGCAGATGATGAGGAGAGACCAGAAAAAGGGGAAACTCCAGAATCGAAATGTCACTTTCTTAGCATCGTTCTCTGCTTTTTGCACAGGTAGAATCCCAAGAAACATTCCCACACGACAGAAAGTCCAGAGCCAATCCACGAGAGACGCCATTTTCTCACTTCCTTCAGTATCTCTGAACGCGTATTTATTCTCCCAATCATTCCATTATCTGCATCTTAACGGAGCCAGTGCCGAAAGCCTATCTCCATCTACGGCCATGAGCCGACGACTCGTATAATTTACATATGTAATTGTGGACTCATCTTTCCAATAAGTCTTCAGACACCTTATCCATTCAGAGAGACTGACAGCTTTCTTTTCATTGACATCTTCCCGTTGCATCGGCTTTCCCCTAATGAACCACCGCATCGTTTTTCACGGGCGAGAAAAAGTTTACTCTGGTGGATGGCTTCCACACTGGGCCCATTCATTCCCCGCCCGAGTCTACATTTGCACAATGCATTCTGCGCCCGCGATATCATTTGGGGCCTTGACCGATAAAATTTTCGAGAACGGAAATCAGAACGAAAATGCCGTCGAGGAAAATTTGTCCTATTTTTGTCACGCTGACGAAAACGGAAAATGGGATGTCTGCATTGACATAAAGTGCACGATGAAAGTTCAGGATGCCAGGGATAACGTGTTTTTTCGTCTAATCCTGCCAATGCATGAGCAGCCATTTTTTGCCCCCCCCCCCCCCCC